TGGAATTTCACCTGTCTTTAAAATCTCATTCATCACATCTTTCAACGGGTTTGCTAATTGTTCACTTAGCTTTTTATAATATTTTGCCGTTAATCCATCTGGTCCTGGAGACTTGCCACTTTTTGTCCAGTTTATTGCCTCTAATACTTCTGGAGCTGTTATTTGGGTATTTAATATCACTAACTGTTCCTCTTTTATTTTTGGCAGATACTATTTTTTATATATTCCTCTATTTTAAACAAAAATTCATTTCCTTTCTTATACAATTCTGAAAAGAATTTTACAAATGCTTCTCTTATTTCCCTCATCTTATCTGTAATTTTTCCATTTATATTGATTTTATTTATAAAATTTCTTTGTTCACTTTTTTCAGTTGCCACGCTAGCAGTTTTCCTGACATGGCATGTTCAAAATATCTCTGCTTCATTCTTTTTATTTGCCAACTGATTTCTTCATTAACTATCATGGAATATTGGGTTTGTAATATCCTAATTGCCTACTTTACTGACTCTTTATTAGCTTTTTTTGCAATTCCTTCTCCAGGCACCGTTGGTCGGGTAAGCAGTTCACAGTTCTGTCTTTAGACCTCTTCTCTCTCTGCTCTCAGTTCAGGCAGCAGCGTTCACTCCTCTCTGGCAACCTTGACCGGGCAGCTGATAAGGAGGGAGGGAGCAGGCTGGGACAAGCTGAAGCTCGCAGAGCCAACAGGAATTATAAAAGTGCTCAGAGTCTTTAAAATGTTTTCCGTTTGTTAGAAATTGGCATCCGGAGGGCAATTAAGATAAGGTTTTAAAAGAATAAAAGTGAGCGCCGGAGAGCGTGACTTGCCTCGGCGCCATCTTGGCTCCCTCCTCAAAGAATTTTTAAAAAAGTTGAAATCTGCCCCCCTTTTTCATGATTTCATCTAAAATTTCGTTTTTCTTTCAATTTCCTTTTAATTGAATTTTGTTGTATAAACAGTCCCCTCATCACCGCTTTACTAGCATCCCAGACCATTTGAAATTTAATCTGACCCTGGAGATTTATTTCAAAATAATTCCCCAAGGTCTGGGGAATTTCTCTCGAATTTTTATTAGTACTATTAAAATTCTGCCTTTCTCATCTTTTTGGATCAATTTGGGTTCTAGTGCAGGATTAATATAAAAGACAACCCCTCTCTTTTTGACATTGTCTACTGAGATGAAATCCATTCCTAATCTTTTGTTAATTAAAATTCTTTTATTTTATTTTTGAAATATGTGTTTCCTGAAGACAAATAATATCCAATTTTTGTTATACAATTACATGTTGAATTCTGTTACGTTTAGTTTTTGTCATTCAAACCGTTAACATTCCAACATAATATTTTAAGATTGGCCATTTTCAGAGTCACTTAAAATATCCCTTTTTCCACCTACTGCTCCCTCCAAAGACAGCCGCTCCAAGGCAGCTCTTTTTTTCTGCTAGTGGGTCTGTTTTTATGTCATGTCTGGTATCTAGGTCTCTTCTGTGTTTTTCAAAGAATTCTCTGGCCTGATTTTCTGTTATCAGCCTATATCTCTTTTTCATAAATGTAAATGAGACTCCCCTCTGGGTATTCCCATTTATATTTTATGTCTGCTCTTCTCAGAGCTGTTGTCAGAAATCTATATCTCTGTCTTCTAATTCTGAGTTTAAAAGGGATTTCCCTAAAAATGTCTACTTTCTGTCCAGCAGCCACAAGATTGTCCTCAAAGTTTTTTTGAAGGATTGCATCCCTTGCTCTTTTTGTAACAAATGTTAGTAGGACATCTCCTGGCTGTTTTCTCTGTCTAGTTTCCCTCGTGCAGACTCTGAAACAACTCTCAGTCATTTCCTCCACCCATTCTTGACTCTCCCCCATCCATTCTGAATTTTTTTTGCAACATATGTTTCTAGATTCTGTTCTTCCTCTGAAATTGGTAATCCTCTTTTAGCTGCAAAAGAAGGATTTAGTCTTCTAAATCATTTTGTCTTTCTTGAAGGCCTCCCACAGTCCCCATAACAACTTTCTGTTCCTCTTTCAGATGGCCCAGTTCCTCAGTGGTTTTTTTCCAACTTGTCAACCTTAATTTCTAAATTGTTAACCTTCTCTTCCATCTTCCCAAACTGTTCCGTCAATAAGTTAGTAGATTTTTCCAAGTCTGAGTGCACTTGTTGCGCCAAACTCTTCATTTCCTGGGCCATCTCCTTCCTAAAATCAATAAATTGCTTCATAAGAAAGTCAGTGTAATCTGCCTTCCCTGTTTTTTTCTGTTTTTTGTTTTTCTTTGAAAATGATATTTATTACTTTTCCAACAATTTAAACACAACACTACAAAGAAGAAAAAAAGAACAGAACAATACAATACAATACAAAAACACTACATAACACTGACACATTAAACTAACTTAACCAAACAAAAACAGTTTAAAACATATCAAACAATTTCAGTATCCTATCTTTCATTCACTTATTTCTACGACCTCCTCACACCTCCCTTTTTGTATTCCACTTCTATTAGTTGTTTCAGCAATTCCTTTCCATCTTCCTCTGTTTTCTATCCTATAATTATCTTAACACATTCTAACCTTATTTTCCCCTTAATATTCTATTAATCTATTTATACTTAATTCCTTATAACATTTCCTGTTTTTTCTGTTGCTGTCTCTTCCTGTACACTTGCATGTCACTTCTCGATGGAGGCCTTCCTAGTGACTGCTCCCATAGCCTGCTTCCCTTTTTCCATGTCTGCACTAGAGGTTGGAATCTTTGTTCTATTCAAGGTCACACCTGCATTTCTTAGTTCTGCCCAGAAGTGAAAACATTTTTCAACTCCCGAGCTCAACCATAAAATCTTCCCTTTGCACTTTTGGACCCTTTTCCCACCCTTGCAAATCCTTACAAGGAACAGAAAATAAAAAAGAAGGGGGAAAGTAAAAAAGAAGAACAAGGCAAAAGTAAAAATATGACTCTGTTGCCATACCTCTTTCACCCAAAGGTTAGTCAATTAACTTCACCAAATCTTACTCATTCAAAATAGCAAGCCATATATCAAACAGGACAGTTCCCTCATGAAATAAGACTGAAAAATAAGCAAAACCAACACAAACAATCAATGCAAAATTGTATACTTCTCTTCAATAATTCCTTTCCTTTCAAGAAGGTGGCAGTGAATGGGAGTAGTCCAACTTTATGACTGTAATCCAATATGTTATAGTCCACTTCTTTAACTTTATAATTCAGTATATTATAATACAGATTTTCAAGTTTTAAGCTTTAAAAGATATGCATCCAAAAATATCAGAAGGTGTTAAAAAGTTACTTATTGGCAGGTAGTGTTGCAATAAATGTCACTGGTCTTCAGTAAGCACTTATATCCAATCCAATTCCAGGTTCTCTGTTCTTCCTGGGGAATTCCTCCCCCAATATAAATAGAGAGTTTTCCTGCTTAGCTTCGGTTTTGTGCCTCCAAGTTCCAGAGCTTAAAGTTTTAAAGCCTGTATTTCCAAAGCTTTTCTACTCTGCCAAAGTATCAATCTGTCAAATTATATCTCTGTCTGACTGTCAACTTGTATCTTAAAGTTACCCAAAGAACAACTTGAGACAACTATAGCCAATATGTATCCAAAAGAAAAAGAGTCTCTTAAAACTGAAAGTTGCTAAAAATTCTCCATTGGCTGCAGTTACTATGCTCTGCTCCCATTCACAAAAAGTCCCCTTGCAGAGCCTGTCCACAGAAATCGGAAGTTGACTTCCTTTTTGGCTTCCATTTTACCAAATCAATTAATGTACACCTAATTTCTTCTTTTAGAAGCTTTATTTGGTTTTTAACCCCTAATTGGAAAATCCACTGCTTATGGTGACAGCACATGGCTTCGGCTGTAGGGTGCGATGGAGCCGTGAGCTGACTCAAGCCTCTTCCCTTCCCCCCTCACAGAAACAGCGATGGGCAAGGTCTGGGTTGCGGCGAGTTCTCCAACGCTCTGCTGGACCCCTGGAGTCCCCACTTGTCTGTGGGGGTTTTTCGGGGGGGGTGCCTAAGGATTACTGAAGTATTGAAGGTGAATTTCTTAGAACTTAGCATGAGAAATATAAAATGCTAAGCAGCAGTAGTAGCAGAGAAATGTTACTTCTGTGTAAATAAGCAGTTGTATACTTCTCTAGATTTAGGTTCCAGCAGAAATGTTATTGTGTGCATTTTCTGCCTTCATCTGTTTCATATTATGTAAAGTATTCATATTTTGCTCAACTCTAAACAAAAGGGTTCCTAGAGCTGCTTACAAAGACCATTCATAAGGCAGCCTCTGTCCTTGGACTTACAATCTAAAAGACGTGACACAAAAGGATTGGGCGTAAAGAGTGAGACCGTAACACACACACTCACTGCGCTAGCTCTTACTTAAAAAGCTCTCATGGTGGAATAGAAGCAGTGGCAGGACACGAGGAGCCAAGTGTTGCAAGACTTTCAGCTGAGCTTTGCTTCTCTCTCTAGATTTGCAGCCTGCTGGAATGGCATAGTATCCTAGAAATACCCAGCTTTGTACAGAAAATGTTAAAGGTTTGTTCCTTCTTGGACTCGAAAGGTTTGAACCTTTCAGACTTCATTACTGAGAGCCATTCTGTACATGACACTCAGAGTGAGATGGTAAACCAAGCTGAGAGGATTCTGGACTGCAGCACTTCAGCCTGCAGGAGGATTTTTTGCACTTTCTGGTGCATTTCCCCAAGTAAAACCTTCTGCGTGTGGTTAAGCCAAATCAGGAAATAGATGATACAGGTAAATCTTTATATGTGATATGTTGGCTTTCTATGTGCAGGCAGTTTCCCTTTTGCTTTTCTTGGCAGGGCTGGCAGCAGATAAAACAGGATGAGTCCATCTGAAGTGGTGCTGTTCAGAATTCTACTGCTTGACTCTGTAATGTGGCCGTTGGAGCTCAGAGCAGCCGCACTCTCCCCCTTGCTGCATGCATAGTTTCTCATTTCTAATCCTTATTCACCTGTTTGTTTGGTTTTGCCACAGATTATTACCAAGCAAAGAAGCAGATCAGAACGGATATGCAAACTCCTGTAAAGAAACCGCCCTTCTAGAATGGAACTTTGTCACTGGTTTGCTGGTTTTGTGGGCTGGTTGATTTTTTAAAGGAGCTTCCAAAATTATACAACATCTTGAAATGGTGCATTTAAATAATGAACACTTGGGCACTTCACACAGAGGCACAGATTTTTGAAATAAAAAATGTGAACTTTCAGAACATCAGAATGCAGTTAGGCCGATTACGTTGTATACCCTCTTCCTGCATACTGCTTTAAAAAATAAGAGGAAGAGGAGGAAGCAGATAACCAAGCAAGAAACAGACTAATTGTAGCAGTAGTGGCACCTCAAAGGATGTTGCTTATCAGGAATTGGTCAGCATAAGAGTAAATAGAAAAAATACTATGTATGAACAATTTGGGAGTGCCATTATACGGTCTTGCATACTATGTGGTGTCGGTTTTTACTTATTTAATTACTATATAGACTTGCATGTCAGTGTGATCATCAATAATATTTTTCCAGCTAACTGAATCCCCCCCCCCAGCTTTTAACATTTTAAGTAAGCATAACAAATCCTTAATTTGGCTTGTATAAATGTTTGCCACTGTTTTGCACATAAAAGTTATTTATGCAGATATACACAGATCTCCTGCCAGCAGTTGTCCTTGGTATCTGTGTCCAAACAGAGTTCATTATATTGAAATCCTGGAATAGCAGTTCCATCTGAACTATACAGTCAGCAGAATCATGTGGTTCATCTCTTGCTGGACACCCACTCTTACAGATTGCATGCCATATGTGCAACTCACTGCTTAGAGAAAATTAGCATGCCAGGGAGAAGGGTTCTAACTTAACATTCTTTTTGCCATGCTACATTTTCTACATCTTACATTAGAACATTCCTACATGATATTTTACTTGTAGGCTGCCATTGGACTGTGTGATTAGTTGAACGTGTAGTTCTGCTTTAGGTTTACAGTACTGACCTTACCCATGTCCAGCCTTCATCTTATTCACTCTTTCTAGAGGCTCAACAGAAAAAGATTTTTTGTCTCCAAGTATGTTATGCTTAATGTGTCTTAATTCTCTAGGGATACTAGGCTTGCCACTGGTGTGCACTTGAAGAGGATTCCTGTGCATTTAATAGATGTTTACTGGTTTGCTAAACATACTTTCCCCATGACTGTATTGAGAGTTGCTGTACCTCCATACACCTCTCACCTGTGCAGCTATAAAAGGCACATGTAGGATAGGATAGATGGAGCACATTAGGAGGAGTTGAGTTTCATAGTCTTATTTAGTTACCTGTCTTACAGCCCAGAATTTCTTCTCATTTCAAAATGATTCGGGCACTGATTGTTTTAATTAATTGTCCTCTTATATTTTCTTACTTCTTACTTTGCAGCTTCCATTGCATCCTCTAGCTCTCGCCCAGCACAACTTTTTAGAATAATTAGGTCGATAAGGTCCTTAGGAGGACAACCAAATTTAAGCACAAATTTGACCCACAGCTGTGAGGCATTTGGGAGCTTTTTTGCGGAGAAAGTCCTGTGGCTCCGCCATGACCTCCCTGCCAATTTAGATACAGTGACTGAACTGGAGGTCCCTCGACTGACTTTGGGTCCAGTGTTGGACCATTTCGATCGGATACTCCCTGCTGATGTGGATAGATTCCTCCAAGCTGGTAGGCCCACCATCTGCCTCCTTGATCCGTGCCCATCTTGGCTGATTAGGGCGTGTCCATATTTCACACGGACCCCCCTAGTTGAAATTATCATTTGTCCCTTGGCAGGGGGACATTCCCAGGGGAAATGAAGGAAGCAGTGGTGTGTCCGCTCTTAAAGAAAACTTCACTAGATCCTTTGTTGTTGTTTAGTCGTTTAGTCGTTTGTGTCCGACTCTTCGTGACCCCATGGACCAGAGCACGAGATGCTCCTGAACTGTGTGTGTTTATGTAACTTTGTGTGGTGGTATGTGCATTGTTTGTCCTAACACTCTTTGGATTATTATTCAAAAATAAATAAAAGTTGTAACTATTTGTGCTGAATCAACTAGCATTCATGAAAAAGATGTCCTGGGAATGGGTGAGACGTACATAAAGTATTGTGCCACTCTCCTGTTCTGCCTTTCTCTGGAAAGAAAGATGGCAATTCAAACCTAGCAGGTGTGACGTACAACTTTGAACAGCTGTAGTAACTGCGCTGTATAGTTGCAGAACTCTCCAAAGTTCGATTTGAAATCTACCCTTGAAGAGTTTGTAGTCTAATGCAGAAGAGACTGCCATTCATTAAATTATACTGAATTAATTCTGTATCATTAATAAAAACCCTGATCCTAACTACATTTACCTGGAAGTAAGTCCCCTTGTGAGACTTACTGCCAAGTAGGCATGTGCCCAAGTATGCACACTTACTGAGGAGTAAGCCCGTTGAACTCAATGGGACTTACAAACCAATATCCTAATAATAATAATAATAATAATAATAATAATAATGTATTTATACCCCGCCCATCTGGCTGATTCATCCAGTATTAAAAGCTTCCCTAAACAGGGTTGCCTTCAGATGCCTTCTAAAAGTCCGATAGTTGTTTTTTTTCCTTGACATCTGATAAGAGGGCATTCCACAGGGCAGGTGCCACTACCGAGAAGGCCCTCTGCCTGGTTCCCTGTAACTTGGCTTCTCGCAGTGAGGGAACTGCCAGAAGGCCCTTGGAGCTGGACCTCAGTGTCTGGGCAGAACGATGTGGGTGGAGACGCTCCTTCAGGTATACTGCCAAACTAAATATTATTAAGGGAAAATAATTTTGAAATACTTGCTTTTTTCTGTCCAATAGTACGGGTTTGGGGAAGAGACTCCACAAGGTACATTAGAAAAATATCTGCTCACCGGTCCGGTGGTGGGTGAGGTTTGCTGCCCGGCACGCAGCCCCATCCTCCTCCTGCAGCCACGCCACTCCACTGGCTGTTTCTCCGCCCCTTGGTTTCCATGAAGCTTTCCAGGTTACCGCCAAACCCTTTTCAAATTGACCTATCCACGGCTGCCTGGGGGGCCGGGCAAGAAGAGTGGACCATGACTGAGCAGGCTTCACTCCAGTCCGCTCCAAAAGCCAGCAGCGCAGTCAGCCCCGGAGCGTCACCCCAGCTAGCCCTCCCTCTAATTGTATCTTTTCTTTCAGGCTGACCTTTTTCCTTTCCAGGTCCATGGGCATTGCTACGGTCGGACGATGGTTGCTGTTTTTCAGAGCAAGGAAGGAATTTCCCCTGTTCTGCAGGTTTTGCTTTCCCCATAGCAATTGTCACAACTTTGGTGTTTTTAGGCCTTGGGCGGAATCCTTTAGTCCAGCAATCAAGGAAGGGGTAGTGTGGTGACTGACACCTTTTGTGGCGGTGATATCAGGGTTCTCTGTTAGAGGGGTCTTGAGGGGAATGTCTCTGACCACAAGTTCACAGCAATGCAGGAGGGGGCCAGCTGTTTAAACACATGTTTTGCAGTGTCCCCATATTCCCTATTGACCCTGTCTTGCCTCTGACCCCCAGCTGGGGGCTGAGAGAGATATACGCCCAATGCCTAAGCAAAGGTTTCCTACACCTGAAATTTAATAAAGTTGTGGCCATTTTAATCCCAAATATGCTGTCATATGTTTTCCTCGACCTGAGGTCTGGCTCGCGGAGGGGTGGTCTGCGACTGGGTGTGCAAAGAAAGTTGATTCTTGTTTGCAGGTTTCTCTGAAAAGGTCAAGAATGGTGTCATCAGTATTAGCTTATGTGCTCTATGTAGAGAACATGTCTTATGGCAGCAATTAATGGGGAAACCATACCCAGCCAGATGGGCGGGGTATAAATAATAAATTATTATTATATTATTATTATCTCTGTTCTCCAAAACAAGGTCCTTGTTTCTGCTGCTGCTGCTGCTTTTAACCACATTAGCCTCTAAAATGTGGACCATTAACTGTATTTAACAACTGATGTGGAAAATCAAAAGTGAATCTTTTAAAACAGACATTCTAGAATATTACAAATGCACGAGTAGAGTATAGGAATAAATTCATTTAGAAGGATTGCCCTATTTGCAATATATTCCTGGCAAATGTATTTCCTCAGCGATAAACCCTATTGAGTTACTCCCTCTAGTAAGTGTGATTGGAATTGCAGCATCTGAAAGTTTCAGAAACCTGATCCAGATATTAAAAGTTGCTTTCTTCTTTACCCTTAAATTCAAAGATAGTGACTCTTTTCTTTGTGAAGGGTGCAAAGTGTATGTAACATTTGCTATGAATGATACATTATATAAAGTGTTTGTATATATAGTAAATAGATTTTAGGTGCAACACTGTGCATGTTTTTTCATAATATTTAGAAATGATGAATCTACTGTTTGTCTTGTTTTAGCAGAGTTTACAGCAAAACCACAATTCAGATTAGAACAGTGTTTCTCAAACTTGAGTTCCAGCAGGAGTTGTTGGACTACAGCTCCCATCATCCCTAGCTAGCAGAACCAGTAATCAGGGATGATGGGAGTTGTAGTCCAACAGTTGGGCACCCAAGTTTGAGAAAAACTGGATTAGAACTAAATTCAGAAATCTTGTCTGAAATTGTCCATAAATTGGGTTACAGTTTGTCATAGTTCCATTAACAGCCAGCATACTGACCCTATCCTCATTTGCAGTCTCTGAGTCTGACGCTGAAGGGCTCTCTTTGGTGTCACACTTTAGTGCTTGTCAAAGACACAGCTTCTGGCTGCCAGTGATGATTACTGTGAAGGAAAGGCACTAGGTCAGTGTGAGAGGCCTGTGGTGGCTCCCTATGGCTGACAGAAGGAAGTAGTCCAGTCTGGATAATGAGGGTCAATCAACAGTTGGGGGAGGAATGGGTGGGCCTGCCTTCTGCCTTGGTTACTCTTGCTGTCCTACTGGCTGATGAGGAGAGGTCCCAGCAGTGGTGTTGAGGGCCTTGTAAAACTGTCAAGTTGCCATAGAAAGCTTTCTAAAGTTGCTTTACAAAATCTTGGCAGAGAGGAAATTGCAGATTGAGTAATGCCTGAAACTAGAGCACTAGATAACTGTTACGTACTGAGTTGAATAGGATCCAAACTGCAGCAGTCTGATTGGTCCTAGAACAATAGGATTCAGAATGCAGCAGTCTGATTGGTCCTTGAACAATGCAGCAGTATGATTGGTTGGCAGGAACCACCCAATCATGCTCCAGATAGAAGTGAATCCACAACCTGATTGGCTTACAGTAGAATTCCGGAATTAGCCAATCATGTGCAGCCCATTGTGTAAATAATGTATATAAAGCAGATACTTTGAGGGGACATTCATCCATTCCTCCTCACCACTATGAGCTGAATAAAGAGCATGAAATCACTGAGTATATTTCAATAACCAAGACAGTTGAACCATCTGAGCCTCATGGTTTCATTTATATATCCATGCACAGCAGAGTGTTAGCAGAGAGCGGGACAGAGAAAGACAATAGCTGCCTCTGCCTTGTTTATATAGGTTTTGGCCAATACAAATGGAACTAATGTCCTAATAAAGCAAAACTGTCCTTGGAACA